TTTTCATTCAGCCCAACCCAACCTAGTCAGATTTAATCCAAACTAGCTGGGCTAAGCTAAATAGCTAGCTTTGCATGCTTGCATTTCGGTCTACTTTGATAAAAATAAGGAGAAATATACATCTGTACACATAGCGAGATATAAAGAAAAAAGGACGGACAAAGAGGTAGATAAACAAAACGCGGGGTAGGAGAGTATAGCACGGCGTTCACTCGTCACAGCAGATACCTACCACCCAATCATTAAAGAAAAGCGTAGGGGAGAGGGTGAGTTCAGTCAGGAGGAATAGGTAGGATCCATGCCTGAGGGAAGATGGATGATCATAGGGAGAGGATGGAAAGAAAATATAGAAAATGGGTTAGAAGAAGAGTAATAAAGTGATTGCGGTGGCAGGTCTTTTTTTCTGTGTCACCATAAGGAGAGTAAGAATGGTATGGATGAAAAGGTAGTGGATAAAATGGCACAAAACGTGTGGGGAATAAGAAGAGTAGAAAAGAAAAAGAAAAAGGATATAATCAAACAAATGCCAGGGAAATGAGGACGCGATGGCATATCAAGATAAAATGTGAATACAGTTGGGAACAAATGGCAACATCAACAACGCTTGGTATGTATTCCACACAGATTAGGGGCCCAACGCCCCCAACAACCTCTCTAGAGCGTTGCGTCATGGCTTCGGCTTATATTTTGGCCCTGTCTAGTATTGAACAAAGTACACGATCCATGGTTTATAGGAGAAATACTGATGGGCTTAGTTCCAGCCGAGCGAGTTCTCGGCCATCACCGGCGCGCTGATCATCTGGGTGCGGCCAGTGCCCCGGCTGTTCTGGCTGTTGCGGGAGAGACGGCCACCTGCGCCGAAGACGGACCCAGCGCCGCGACCTTCGCTCATCTGGTCGACGCTCGAGGGGGAGCGCTGGTGCAACTGGCGCTTCTTCCGGTACCGACGCGCAACCCAGAACATACCAGCACCATATGCTGCAGCACCGGCCACAGCACCACATCCGATACCAACGGCACTAGCCTTGGTGGTTCCAGATGAGCTGGTACCAGCATCGCTTTGGTCGTAGCCACCGTCACTGCCATCGCCGTTGCTGCTGCTGCTACCCGATCCACCGCTGTTGGACGAGCTGCCACTGGAAGAACCCGAGTCGCCCACCAGAAGAGGGATGGAAGGGTCGATCATGGCCATCAATGTCTTGACCGTCTCGTTGGGCTGCTCGTAGAGCCTCGAAATGGGGTTGTGGAGCATCTTCCTCAGGGTGTCAACGTCATCCGAAGGGATGTACATCAGCGCAACGGTAGCAATGTAGCCAGTGCTTGCCGAGTTGTCGTAGGGTTGGAGGTCGTACATGACCACGTCAGAGTCATTGAGCTGCAACGCGTAGCCCATACCCTCGGGAACATACATGAAGATCTGGGAGGAAGACAAGGGTGTTGTGGCCACAAAGCTCCAGCGCAGTTTGCCATTGAATCCGATTTGGACCAAGGTATCGTTGGCCGGCTGTTCGGGAAGACCACCAGAAGGAGAGATCGATCCAGGAAGCTGAGGAGCAGCAGTGCTGGTACTCGAATGGGTAGCTGTGCCCGTGCTCAGTGACGTAGTAGTCGTGGGCTCAACCACGAGAATGCTTGACGGCAGGTAGTTGTCAGAATCGGAGGTGGTCGTGGTCGGTTTGGGGGCTACAGTCGTCTCAGCGGCCGAGGTGGTCGTCGTGGTGGGTTGGGCGATAGGCGTGGGCGTTTCCTTGCTGGTAGTGGACGGGGCATAGGAAGGCGTCGCAGATACCAGACCCGAGGACTCCTTGGTGGAAGTGATCAAGGGTATCGAAGAGGCAGGGCCAGAAATGGAGGTAAACTTGGATGCAGAGCTGGTGCCAATAGCAGAGCCTGAAACGGATCCAGAAGCAGATCCCGACACAGATCCAGATGCAGAGCCAGGAGCCGATGTAGGAATAACACCTGCAGATCCCGAAACGGATCCAGACGCCGACGTAGGGAACAGTCCCGCAGATCCAGATACAGACCCAGATACCGATGTAGGAATGACGCCTGCAGATCCAGAGGCGGATTCAGAAGCCAATGAAGAAGATGCTGATTCAGAAGTGGTTCCAAAAAGACCCGTCGAGGCAGATCCTGAAACGGAAGCAGAAGCAGATTCAGTCGAAGTGGGCATGATGACAATGCCACCACTGATGATAGGAGTCGAGGCTCCCGCTGAGGAGCTCTGGGTTCCGCTGGAAGCCCCGGGAATAAGAGCCGTCGAAGTGGCCGAGATACCCAGGCTGATAGCCGAAGGTTCCAAGGAAGCGCCTGAGGATGTGCCAAGTAGGGCAGAAACAATATTGACCGATCCAGAAGATGAGGCAGGCGTAACCACAGGAACACTAACGGAGATGGTAGGGAGGCTCAGAGGGAAAGCACTGGAGTCGGCAGACTCGCTTGCACTCTTGCTAGTAGCAGAGGCAGATCCGCTGGAAGTGGTGGTAGTAGGGAAGAGGTCCGAGAGGAAGCCGAGGACACCTCCTGATGATGAGGGCGTGGAAGAAGAAGAGGTCACGTCTTCAGATGCAGACGGGATGAGGCTCGAGGATGCTGACCCAGTAGTCTGAGAGGCTGCGCCTGACGAGGTGGCCTGAACAGATGTAACCTGACTCGAGGAGCTCTGGGTTGAAGACTCGGACTTCGAAGTAGACTCAGCCAGAGGGACCTGAGCGGAAGAACTCTGGGCAGATGCGCTCTGGCTAGTGATAAGCTGACTCGAAGTCTCTGCCTTCGAGCTAGGAGTGGCAGATTCCGACTGCGAAGCCTCGGCAGAAGACTCCGTAGTGGAAGCAGGGGTCGAGGATGCTGGGCTGGATGAGCTTTGAGTGGTGGAATCCTTAGCCGTAGAACTCTCCGAAGTCGTCGAGCTATCGCTTGTAGAACTCTTGCTTGACGTGACATCTACAATGACGCCAGCAGAGCTTGAAGCGGGAGCGGGGGTTGCAGAGCTGGACTCGGCTGGCGATGCGGTAGGGCTGGCCGTGGAGGTTGCGCTGGTGCTGGTAGAGGACCCCAAGATACTTGAAATGAAGCTCTCCCAGGAGTCAGCCAACGAACTCTGGCTAGATGTAGTAGCTGCTGCTGCGGCCGCTGCGGCCGACGAAGAAGCTGTCTCTGCCGTCGTTGCTGCTGCTGACGAAGAAGCTGCCTCTGGTTTCGCTGACGATTCAGACGCGGAAGTGTGCTTCTCGGATTCGGAGGTAGACTTCTGCTTTTCCGAGTCACTGGTAGTTGAATCCTTGTCGGATGTTGTCGCGCTCGCCGTAGAAGTAGCAGCAGCTGCCGCCGGGGTACTCTCTGCACGCTCAAGGGTAGAGCTAGTTGTCGTTGAAGCACCGGGAACGTTGGGTGCCGTGCCCACAATAGTATGCGTAACACCATTGGCGTCCACGGAAATGGTTACAGGAACAACGATAACAGCAGGTGAAGGGTCAACGATCGGGCTTGTTTGTTCATTGTCCGAGGTGGGCGCTGAATCATGCGTGCTCGTTTCGGACCTGGTTGTCAACTCGACAGGCGTAACGGGCTGGGAGGAACCAGGAACGGCGGAGCTAACCTCACGCGCTCCCAAGTCCCGGATCTGTCCTGCCTCCCGGGCTGCGACGAGCTCGAGGCCGCCCAAGGACAGGAACGCGGCCAACAACGAAGTCGTGGGCGCAATCATATTGATTCGAATGGTTGGGTAACAATAGCAGGCGATAAAGAGTGGTCAGGTGGTCGAAAAGACCGTAAAAATGCTGAAATGAATGGACAGAGCGAAGGCTCAGATGGGAACCTCCAAAACCAAATATCCCAAGGCACGGAGTATTCAAACGTCAAGGATCAAAGCCAGTCGTTGAGATTGCTGATGCATGGGGTCGGTGGTTGGAAATTCGAATAGTCTAACCCCCGGGCTATATAGATGTCCTATTCCCGGCGTTTTCGTATATCCACCTCTCCACAATTTGAACCACTTGAAGCGAACTTATCTCAATCGAAGGATGGCGCGAGCGATGGCGATATCCCGAATCGGTCGACGGCTGGGGATGCGATGACAACGGTCGGTAAGCTTCCTGGTATATTGAGTCGAACAACAACCAGAAAGTTTGCAGATATCACAAAACTATATCACCAAAAAAATTCTCCGAATCAAAAATATCGATAGCGACAAGCTCTAGTAGTGCACTGACAGCTGACGGATGGATGTGCGCGCACCAACGGCGGGAGTTCGGTATAAACAAAGCGGGTTCAAAGAGCGGCAGGGGGTGTGGTCGATGAGAAACCAACAGTAACCCCTCACGAAAACTACCAGCAAACAAAACAATAACGAGTGTAGAGGCGGTAAGGAGCGAGCGACAAGATCTAAGAAAGGGATGTTAAGTGAGAAAAACGGCCGTGGAGAGGGGGAAAGGTGGAGGTGGTAATGGTAGTGGAGGAGGGGGGGGTGGGTTGTTATGGTGAACGGCGGTTGGAGGTGGTGGTAGTACCTGAAGAGGGCGCGCGACCGTGGGAGGGGGATGGGATGCAAGGAGAGAAAGGCTGAGGATGAATTGGCAAGTCCCAACGGCTCGTTGACGTAGAAAAGGTGTTCGCAGGTGGGCTACGTCAACGAAGCACCGGCGCTGGCGAAGCAAAAACGGGGCGAAGAGGGGGGAAAGAGAGAGGAAGAGAGAGGAGGAAGGGGGAAAGGATGGTAGTAAAGAATGAAAAAGATAGGCGATGCAAAGTGAAGAAGCAGAAGAAGAATAATAATAATGCCAAAGGAAGGACGGGAAAAATCAAAATCAAAAAAATGGTGGTAGTAATTAGGAACAGTAATAATAACAACAGCACTAAAATGAATGAAAGGAGAGTGAGAGGGAAGGGGAGATTACTTCTGGCTGGCGGTTTGGATTAGTTTGGCTTAGTTGGTTTGCCGGTCCGTGTCATCGCCTTTTTTTGGTAGATTTGATTATTTTGGGGCCCGGCTTTTACTTTTTGACTTTACTTTACTTTACTTAGCTCTTACCACCACCACTTGGATTTCCGGGTTGGGCTGTGGGAGTTGTGGTTTGGTACCACTGGAAAAAAGGGGGGGGAGGAGGGAAGGAAGGGAAAAAGGCACGGCAGGGGAAAAACGAGGCACACCAAAGCAGAGGGGGAAAAAGGCAGGAAGCACGCGGGAAAAGCAAAGGAAAAGGCCGTGGCTACAATGCCAACCACCCCATGACAAGGCCATAAACCACACGCACCGGGTAGAAGGTGGGCCCCCTTCCACTTCGTCCCACCTCTTGCCGTACGGTATTGTACCTTGGTTGCCGTATCTTCACCTCGCATCCTCATTATCCCAATTGCACATTTGCTCACTCACTGACGACAAATGCCCGCAACAACCTGGGGTTGAGCATGTTCTAGGTCTTTACTATTTGATACTGGAGTTGCTGTCGTTGCTGTCGTTGCTGTCGTTGCGTGTCACAGGTTCTGGACTCTCTGCCTACACCTCATGCACTACAAGTCATTACATCCCGGCTAATATGTAAGAGTGTATTTACTAATGGCCGAATGAATGAATGAAATGAATAGTGTGAACGGACAGTATGTGCGTGTCTGGCCGGAGGAACGTCCCAATGGAGAAGGCATGTACGCATGCCGTCCTGGTCGAACCCCCCCCATCAAAAGGTACACTAGATGCCAAACGATCAATAGTATACGGAGAAGAGAGCTTATTTGGGTACTGACCATGGCCGCACTCCGTTTATAGTGCAGTATCTATCTACAACGGCGCACATCAAGACCAACTCCAAGCTCGCTACCGCTGGAACTATTGAGAACACCCTCACCCCGAGCGGTTCAGGCCATAGATCGCATGATATGCAGTGGACAGAACTCTTTCTTTGGGAGTCTAGACGTTGAAAGAGGGGTAGCATGGTGTATTTCGATCGACATACTAGGGTCTCGTCAACCGAACAGATATGGAGCACAAGGTGTCAATCAGGTATCTCCTCTTCACAGATCGGGAACTCCTCCGCGCACTTTGTGTGCAGTGTAGAGCAGAACAAGGCAGGGTATAGTGTAGGCTGCGGGCTGTCATATGCCCTGGCAGTTTGCTCGAGGCTGGGTTGATGCCGCAGCATGCAGAAGGTGCATAGAATCAGGAAGAGGACACAGCCCGGCAGTTGCACTACCTCACGGAGACAGAGAATGATTGGTGGCCATGTTGACAAAGTGTCCAATCATTCCGGGATGTCGCAGGGAAATATGGTAAGGAAATTAACCCATCAAAGTCGGCTCGTATGGGGAGATAATGATCGCGGTCTAAGGAATGGGGGAAGATTGATGCTTAAACTTGAAATGGGATCCTCAAATTTCAGGCATGTCACGAAGGACTCAAGGATACATACTGGATAGGTAGCACAGCGTAAAGTGGCCGGTGAAAGTGGCCAGGGACAATTGCCGATCAGCAGTGGTACGGCGCGCATCGTAATTCCCGCCTCGCACGCCAGCCTCTTCTGCAAAGGGCATAATTCCGTCAAGGTTCGGACCACCACAAGGCCTAGACTGACGGCGTCGTTTTAGTGTGGGTGGTTCCTGGATGGATGTGGGGATAGCCCCGGTGCGTGGTGATACGGGCAAAATAAGTTGCTGCAGCCTGCTCGACGGGCTGGCAACTGAGCAAAAACAACTCCAGGCAAGGATCATCAAGAGAGAAAGAGAGAGAAAATCGCATGGCTTGGTTCGGTTCGAACAGGCGAGCAAAAGGGATTTTTTTTTCGTAACTTGGATCGGAGGAATGTGATAAGCATGGGGTTATGCACCTGCCAGCCAAGATAATGCGGTCGGGTGCATTTCCTCCTCCTTGAGAAGGAAAGCAGTGTTTCTTTCCTCTCTGCCTAACATTACAACCACCAGCAAAGAAATTATAAAATCCAAGAAAATAAAATAAAAAAGTAAGATTATTGATGCCCCTTCCCCTCCCGCCCGCCGGGTTGAGTCAGTCACAATGATGGCCATCCACCCCCGGCTGTCTCACCATCCCTTCTTAACCCCAAAGCATCCAATACCATCCGTGCCTCGTACGGAGCCACTACGTATGCGCACCCGTCCCATCCATTCTACCGGTATGCAACAGGCCTTACTATATTCAATATGAGATACCTGTAAAGCTCCTCCATGACATGGGTATGTGGTGTGCTAATATGCTGGTAGCACTGCATCTTGGGAAATTCTAGTTGCTGCCTTCAAGACCATCCTCTTCCATTCAGAAGCTAGTGGCGAACACTATTGACCTCAGGGCCTTTCGAGAACGTGCTCCATTCCGTTAGTCCTGGGCTAATTTCTTAGCCTACTCACGAAGGATGGGAGGAGGGGCCTGCTCAGACTCCAGCAAGACCCGGCCCGGTTAACGCTGGGCGAGGAAGACGATGGAAGGCATGTTCATGTCTTACACCACGTGCATGCCCAGCGGCGCCAACCGTCACAAGCAGGGAAAAATAAGAGTTGTACGTACTATCTTCTACTTCTAACCCGCCAGTCGGTGCTGGTGCTTTTTGACAGCGCGGCAATCATCGATCTTTTTCTCCCTGACATGATTGGAATGTCAGAAATGCAGGAGAGTCGCTCACAGCCCCTGCTGGGGGGGCCGCCGTCAGGGCTGAAACAATGGCTCTTTCCATCCCTTCGGTCTCAGAATTGCCACGAACAGAATCGTACAAAATTCCACAGATCGCGTATTGGCTGAGACTCTTGGTACCCAAGGCCAGCACAGTCAGAAAGGATTTGCAGGAGCGCCCCCATGGTCATTGATTCTTCGAGTGTTGGATCTCACGAAGAGCATGGCCTAGGACGATGTGCGACTCTAGAAGGCTGACGGTCAGAACTGCTTCAGCAGCATATGCAGATCGGGAAAGTCAAAGCTTCGATTAAGACCCAAATCCAGATGGGTTCCTCTGTAATACTTAGGAATTGGATCGTCGTTCGCCTGAGTTGACTAGAAAGCTAGATGAGTCGTAGCACCCACGGAACTTCGTCCAGCAGTGGCACCATTGTTCGCGTTGCTATTTTAATCTTGTAGGCTGAGTCCATTCAAAGAGCGTCTTCGAGTCTAAGCCTTGGACGGACGTAAGACCACTCACTGACCATTTTTACTAGGCCATTGTATCTTGAGGACCTCTAGCGCTAGGCCCATCACATATATCTCTATCCTGATACCATTATATCATATGTAAATGCGACCAGTTCCTGGGACGGGGGATATGACCCTGAATCTAATGAACCATGGACAAAAGTTGCCAACGATCCAAGGACTGGGAAATTACTTCAAGCAGGCACTAAGCCTGTTCCTGACTGCTGCCCCACCGTGGCCCTTGGTTCCATTGGTTGGTGGTCGGCTCTTGGCGCGTGCATTGCCCCCATGCGGACTAGCCTCGCCCATTTTGAGGCCAGCGATTCCCTCCATCTCCAGCAGATCCAATCCTGGAGACAGTCACGATGTTCGGATCAGAGCCTGAAAAAGGTCGATCAGTTCAGTAGTTGCAGTGGACTATCCCTGAACTGTTCCAACTGCAAATCTTTATAATTCAGCTTCCTACCAGCTTATACGGAAGGCCACTCTGAGATGGAGAACCATGCTAATAATAGCAGATCAGTTCTTATTTGATCCATGACCCGTTGGAGCTGAATCTGTGCTTTTACCGACCCAGCCGATCTGAGACACAATGGTTCGCTTAGCTACGATAGAGGATCCAGCATAGAGCACGGAGGACGGAGTAAATAGCACGAATGATCTTCTCGCATCAGCCATCTAAGCTGCATCCGACAGCCGGTGTCGCATTAGACATAACTAAGCCCAGCTGCCGCTCGAATCCATGCATAAAGTCACCGTTGGCATTCCGATTGCTAACATTAGAAATCGGGCTTGTCGACGCATAGGCTGTTCACACCAGGCTCGCCGGTCTATCCGTTGCCCCCAGCCGAGATGCAGAGTATATGCACATAAGCAGTGTTTGTCTGCATTTGTCCAGTTATGTACTCGCATAGCATCACATTCATATCCAGGAATTTGCATCATTGCTTGCTGCTCACAGACGAGACCCTCGACCTGGCACACTGCTCACCACCCCAGCACACTCAATCTCCACATCAGTCCCCATTGGCAATGTCTTGACCGCAACGCATGTACGAGCCTAGGTTTATCAGTAAGTATGTGACTCTGCCCAGGGGCAATCAGGCGAAACGCACCGGTTTCGGATCCGCGAAAAAGGAACTATAGACTTCATTGACAGCGGCAAAGTCATTCATATCAGCCAGGAATATGTTGACTTTCACGGCATCCTGGAGACTAGAGCCGCCTGCTTCAAGGACGGCACTCAGGTTGTTGAGGATTTGTTTCTGGACCTCGTTAGCTGAGTAGCTTTAGGCACACCCTTGGTTAGGGATATTTATTTGGGTTATGTAGGAATGAATGATGTACCGTTCTTTCTTGGATTGATCCCTCAACCATCTTGCCTGTAGCAGGGTTCACGCCCACCTGCCCAGAGCAGTAGACCATGTCGCCGACGACAATGCCCTGGGAGAGGAATGGCGGTGGGAGAGGGGCCTTTTGGGTGCGGATGGGGATTCTGGTTGCTTTGGACATCGTGAATATTGTAGATGCTATAGTTTCCTCTTTCTGGCAGTTGATATAACCTATATTGTTTCCTCGAAAGGCAGTAATGCTTCGGAATATATACCTGGGGAAGGGCGAAGGTTGATGATAAGCGGGGAAGTCGGAGGAGTCGCGCTTATCATGAGTGGTGACCCACCGAGATGTGACTAAGAATGCTGGCGATAATGAGGAGATCATGCACACCACAGAGATGGTACCTTATGACAATGGCAGATATTTGGGTGTAGGCTCTTGAGTTTCTGATACTATGAATAACATTGAGACATACCAATCAAGTTGGGAAGGGTTGTTAATAGATCTGACAGTACCAACCGGTTAGACCAACTGATAACCGTGCCACAACTATATATCTTCTTCACAACCGCCAATGTTGCTCAACACCACAACCCTAGATTTCGTGCTCTGAAGCACATCACGCAAACACCATTTAGCTCGAGAGAACCTCATTAACATAGTTCACTTCTGTAAATCTAACACAATGACACTCTCCTCCAGCTGCATTCCAACGTCACATTCACAGATTTCATACAACGCAACCACGAACTTCCTCATCTTCAAACATCATAAACGGATCAGTCTCCGCCAGATGTCTCCGCATTAGCAGATATCACAAACGGTGCACGCAGATTCACTCTCTTAACACAAGATGGCCTTTGCCACGACGACTGAACACGTCCACAGCTCATCTTTTGAATGCACTCTGTGCTACAAGATGCAGCCACGTCCCTATCCTTCTCATCATCCTCATATTCCTTCTCTGCATTCGTGAACTACCCAGAGATCATGGATCCCCGGGGTATGCGGAAGAAGGTGGCCGAAGCAGCGGCGCGTCTCAGGCTCTCCAAAGCTAGGAGGGACCTCGCGAAGCTGAAAGCTGCGAAAAAGATGATTGAAGAGCAGCGAGCAGAAGCAGCTGCAGAAGAAAGAGCTGCCGCCGAACTTAACGATACTGAATACATCAGATGGCCAGCCTTCAGAGTCATGGAAACGATCCCCGAGATCTCTGAGACAAAGTCCGTTGATATCCAAGTCCACGGCATGAAAGCCAGGGTTTATTTAGACCGTCCTGACGAAGATATCGTGCCGCTGCGGTACCTCAAAAGAGCAGACAAAGATAGTGAGTATATATACCCATCCAAGCGCATCCAATACTCTCCATATCATGTCACATAGGTAGACCATTTCCAAAGGAGCAAAGCTAATTAAAATACTATTAGAGATCGTCCACCGCGCTGTCTGGATCTTCCGCGTCGCCAGAAATGGACGTCGAGTCAATCAGAATAGATGGCCTACCCTCGAGACCATTTTCTTCGACGTCTTCCGTAACCTCAAGAATTCTCCTCAGTGGGATAAAGGTCTCTTTGAGGACGAGGCAGGCAGTGCTGCAACCTGTCCAACCAATCTTGAATTCAGACAAGCACGTTACAACCAAGACAACGTACTTCATGCTCTCATATCCGAGCTGTTCTTCAACGTGGATGTCATGCACCCGACTTCAAAGCCTATGCTTTGGTTCCACCTCTAGTACGTAACAACATCAACCCTAACAGACCCTACACAGCAACGATACACTAACCCCATCCCCTCCCATCCAACCAGTCCGAAGGTCATGGGAGAATATCTCGAATATTGGACCGGATATAAGGAGAAACGTCAAGACGGACCTTGTACCTCCGGCCGCGTCGTCGTTGATTATTACCCCGATGCTATGTACGCACGCACCGTCCTGCCAATGACAACTGTATAGTCCACCCCCCTCAACCCTCATATGCCACCTCCCCCAAAGACCAACCCAACCCACTAACGCACCCCCAGACCCTCACCGACAACCAACCCCTCCACAAAACCCTCTCCCAAAACTTCCAACTCCACCTCGGCCAACTCCTAACCAACCTGCACCACATGCACATCCACCGCCACCACCTCCCGGACCAAGAAGTCTTCCTAATCAACCTCCACGGCAGCAGACTCCACGTCCAACGCGCCATATTCCCCAGTTCCAAGATCTCACGCATCTACTGCAAGAAGTACAAGCCCGTCGACACTTCCAACACCGAACTGCACACTTTCCGCGCCGGAGACGCCACTCGCCGCTACACCGAGCAAGATCTCGAGCACGATATTGATCAACTCGATTGGCTACACACTCTCAAAGAGGAGAGAACCGAGGCTCCGGACGAAGATGACGCCCCCGTGTTTCGCGTGCTCGCTAGCAAGGAATATGATCTCTGGAAAAAGACCGATTGGCATGCCGCGTTGAAGCTGTTGGCTGGCCTCAATCGTTATTTGATGGGCGGCCGCGCTAAGTGTGGTGTTATGCAGAATATGTTTGAGAAGTTTCCGCAGGAGGAGGAGGTGTCGCAGCCTGTGGAGTCGTCGTCGTCGTCTGCGGCTAGGCGCTGAGGGGGGTGAGGGATGGATGGATGGTGGTGGTGGTTTTTGCGCTGCCAGTGCGATAGGCGTTGGGGACGGGACGTGTGTTCAATCTCTCGTCTTAACTTTTCTTTCGGTGCTTCTCTTTCTTTCTTCATGGCTTGCACTTTGCTTGCCCTTGGCTTTGCTTAGCTTTGCCTTTGCTTGTCTTTTGCTAGCTCTTTGCTTCGCGTTTGCTTGGTCTCCGCTTAGCCTTTGCTTGCACTTTGCTTTGCATTTACTTTGCTTTTGTATTGCCCTTACTGGCTCTCTGCCTTCGTTTCTCTTTCACGTCTTTTGCTCATACCAAATTGATGTACCCATAGCATAGCGGGAAGATGGCGTTAATAGAGCAGATAGCGTAGCTTAGTTTCCAATGATGAATGTAACTCTAACTACTGAGAGGAGACGCACTACATAGTACATACTCGTTGGTCATGGCAGAAATCAGCTCAAATAGTCATACAGAATTGTGCGAAGACATCCAAATTTAGTCTCCATGACGCCGCTCAGACTCAAAAGCCGTAAAAGCATCAATGCCCCGTCCGTCTTGTCCTCCCGTGCGGAAGTATTCAACAACAACACCTATGGCGTAGCATGTTCCTGCGGTAGCTACGCCACTGAACAACATCCTGCGCAAAGCTTGGCCAGCTCTGGATTGGCGTTTCGAAGAAGAGTCTTTAGCTTGTGAAGTCTCGTCTGGTAATTCGGTCTGATGATCAGGAGCTTGGCCGGAGAAATGTTCCCGTGGTAGCTGAATAGGTGATGTAGACTGTTTCAGGGTTTCACTATTTCGGCCGTCGAGGCTAGCTTCAATTTTGTCCGCTGCTTTGGAAGGGGGAGCGGAATTGTCATGCACCGAACTGCTGGATTTTTTAAACACAAGAATATCCCCACCACCGGAAACTATTTCGTAACCATCGGTACGCATTCTTGCAAAATGGGGTAAGAACTTGGCAGGGGCATTTAGGCGACCTAAAATTTCTGCCGGATGGATTGTCTCGTCTGAAGCCTGGAAAGATGAGCTTGTCTCTGCTTCGTTTACTTGAAGGGTCGAGGGATCATATGCAAGCACTCGATAGGTTTCGGTCGATGGGGTATCAACGTGTGGCTGCTCAATGGTAGCAGATTGATCGAAGTTCTTGGTAGCTTCCTGCTTTCCAGACTGGTGTACCTGTGAAGCTTCCCGACTTTCTGCAGTTTGCTGATTGGGTTGTACACCAACGTCTGATTTCTCTGGCATGACGGACTCGTCAGAGGCACCGACAGTCTCATGCTTTTGAAACTTGCTTCGAACGCTCTGGGCGTCAATGTCACCAGCGGGATCGACAAATGAATCGAACTTATCGTCGAGAGATTGACGGATCTGCTTCTCAATCTCAGGATCAATACTAGGCCTAGCCAAGTATTGGGAACGAATATCACTGGCATTCAGGAGGTCTAAATCCTCCTTCCTCTCTGCTTGCACCCTGTCCTGTTCGTGTGCTGTACTTAGCGGACTTTCAGGCGTCTCTAGAGATCTCATCGAAGCCTCATTGCTTGGTTGATCTCCAAACGAACGACTGTTGACCGGCGCTTCTAGGTGATCATAGGTGACGCGTCCGCTGCCCATTGTGAGATCCTGAAGCTTAGGTTGATCGGCCATGATCGCTTCTGAGAGACTACTGAGTTTCTCAGAAACATCTCTCTGGTCTTTCATAGTATCAATTGATGGCTCCAAAGCTTTGTAGCAAACTTCTGTTGGTGAATCCGATTTCTGCACCTCAGGGGTTTGAAAGGGCTCATCCGCGACTGGTGCCACCTCAACACGTTGTTGCGATGTTTCTTCTGCGCTATCGTTTCCTGCTTCTGTTGCCGGCTTAGGTTCTGAAACTGATCGTTCGAATGGGGATAGATAGCCGGTGGGCCCAGAAGGAGGCTTCTGGGTCCCGGCCAATGTATCAATGTCGTTCCCGCGAGAACCCTTTGCTGTGGCCACCGGCTGCTCAGGATCCTTGGGTATCATACGACCACTAACAGGATCGAATTCATAGTCTGGTCGACCCGTCTCTGATATAATCTCGTCTGAAGATGGGACCCCGCCACTCACGTCTGATTGTGGCTTCTTGGGCGATTCCGAAGAGTCCTTCGAGACTGCAGTAGTGGCCTTCGGGCGTGCTGTTGTATTCATGGTACTTTCCGACTTGTCAAGACCTAGGAAAGAACGACAAATGGAGGTAAAGGCATTATCAAGCTTCTCAAAGGAGCTAAATGGCTGCAACCTTCTTCCGAACAATGCTGCGTAGGGATCCTTATCAATCTCCCTCTTGATCTGGTTCATTCTCTCCTTGATGCGGGACCTTTCGGCCTCCCAAAAGTCACCCTTAATACCATTTCGATTGTAAAATTGAAAAGACTTGTCTCGATCATAGCCCGGTCCGTAACCTCGGAACCCCCATGGATTCTGACTTTCGTACACGTTCGCTTTCCGCGGACGTGTGGGCTTTTCACGAAGCTTCGAAAGACAGTATCGTCTGTGCTTATCTATCTGCTTCTCCAAATACTCGTAGTTTATCCTCTCGCCCGGACCGCGCCATATGTGACGGCGCTGGCAGGAGGACTTCAGATGTTGAGATGATGCGAAGAGTATGGCTCGGGGATAAGTTCTGGCCAGGGCCGTGGAACGTCTGACGGCCCTGATATCTGCAACTGCGGTTGTATATATCATGGTGAGACTCGCAAGGGCCCTGTGTTTGGAGTATACAAACTAGAATGGAAGGACGCTAAGCAAGGAGTGATGAAGCTCTTCGACCACGACGTCAGACCGGATTCGGACGGCCACTGAGCTGTCTTCGGTTACATCACAGGGGACGATAAGGGGTCAGGAGGACCGCTACAAGGACAGTAACCACAAAGTAGAATCTTTTATCAGAGAGATAGCTAATCAGTTTATCGGAAAGAGAGCTAGAATACTGATGAACGAAGCATGGAGTGACTTGGAAGTGCAAGGGAGAGAGGGAGTTGGCAGCTGATAAGGCGGAGAGAGCTCCGATAAGCCAATCACGGGGCAAACGCGGGGTTGTCGGTCTAGAACCGTGCCTCAGGCAGAAACTCAAAGTAGATGTTGCTCGCTCAGAATCATCATATGTGGGATTCTTAGTCAAGATCCCCGTCATATCTATATGTCATGGTTGTCTATGCTAACTTTTGCAAGTCCTAGATCATCCACTACCTGCAGGCCTGGGTCAGATGAAATATAGTTAAACCAGAACCGTAGCCCCTCAATTCCCTGTTCTCTGCAAAGGACTCCCTTATCCTCTGCCATCTCCAACTCCTCCGCTGCAACGCCCACACTCCATTTGAATCGCTGTGCCGCCTCCTGTGCGGTCACGGCACGTCCAAACAGACGCCAGTCCCAGGCTACCGGCTCCGTGGGTGGCACTTGACGGAGCTCTGCCATCCAGTCTAGCAGCTGCCGAAGGGTCTTCTCATCAGTCCAGTCGTATCGTTGAACAACGAGCAGTCCACTCTTGAAACGACGCAGACGAACTGGCAACTTCAATTTCTCCCACAGTTCCGCAGCCTTCTGAAAGTCCGAAGGACTGACGAGCTCGACCCCGTTTCGGGACCGGTTGAAGATTGCCCATAAGTCGATAAGACTAATAATCCCGCCTTCTTTCTGTAAGACACCCTTACGATCGTCGGTTAGATATTCCGCTAAATTTCGGGACAACTCCGACAGATATAGGCTCTCTGCCCCAGACCCGAGCATATCTTTCGTCGTCACCATACCCAACGCCGCCGCTGATTCCGAAAGGACGGCGCTAGTTTCAGCAGAGCTCTCGTCACTAGCCATCCCAGACTCGCGGGCTAGCGTCTCAGCAAGCGCAACAATATGTTTCGCCGATGCCATAAGCGCTTCGAGATCCTCGAAAGCATTGCCAATGACGAGCTCATTGTTCTTACGAGCCTCAAGGCCTCGTCGCTCAAGCCCCGCAATGCCAACTCCCGGTGAGCGAGGCTGTGATGCTCCAGGGCCGTTCGCTAATGCAGGCACGGCTAAACCTTGAGCTTCGAGGCTTGACTGCGATGGTTGTTGTGGCACAGGCGGAGCATTGTAAAGAAGCCATTTCCGCTGGATCAAGGCGCCCTTCAACCTTTCAAGAAATATCTTTTCGCCGCCTCCACGGAATGACAATTTCATGCAATCTTTGATTTGCTTGCTCTTAATACTGCCCTGATCAAAAACAGGGGCCGGGGATTCTGCACGGTAGTGATCGCCATTGGTGACTTTGAGGATATTGGCAGAGACCAAGGAAGCTCCACACATTTCACATTCGATGAGAGACGGATGGTTGACGAATGTGCAGCGTGGACATGACACTTGGGCGCCATTTTGTGGAACCGTTAGGTTCTTGGGGCCATGATTCCCAAGTAAGGACTCTTGCCCAGGTTGGGGGATTGGTGGCGTCGCAACAGAGCTCTCACGACTTGTTGCAGCAGTGATTGCAGCCTTAAGGATAGTCGCAAGAGGGGGTTTGATACCACATGCCAGGCAAGGAGGTATCGGCGTGGACGCGGTAGCGGTGGACGGGTCGAAATTGGAGGGCACGGGATTGGAGAAGGTGCATATAGGGCATACCCATGTCGCATTCACGGGTGGAGGAAGTCCCGCACTAGGATGAGACACGGACTTTGGGGTCAGGGGCGACTGCGATCGAGAGGGACTTGCGCCAGCGCTTTTCGACCGGTCAATGTTCTTCAGTGGCTTAGGGTATAGCGTAATCTTTGGAGAGGACTTCCAGAAGCTTGCCTATAATACATTAGATTTTCAGGCCAGTTTGCACGATTAAACCAGCACGTACTTGGTACTCTGTTCTATCAATATCCTTGAGGTCAATGCCAACTGAGTATTTCCGCGGCTCATCAACTGCTACATAACAGACACGATGCGAGGTCAAATAGGCATGGCCATTCTGATAATTGGGGATTTTATATTTTCTGATCATGCAAGAGACATTAACAGTCAGCAATTGAGAAGATATATACTGTGTCACTAAGGCTCGGTTCCAGAAGAAGTGACATAGACCCAAGCATGGAGAGACCACCGATGCAGCAGGTGAAGTAACAACCGGCTACTCACCCTTCGTACAACCCCACCGCATCCTGGACAAAGAGTAAGGTCTCGTCGGGCAACAGCGAGGGGCGAAGCGCAGTTGTCAGATCCAAAGGCTTGAAGAACATCTAGTAAGATCAAGCAGCATCTCTTCACGATTGAAAGGGTGAAGAGGGGCAGAGTATACGAAAGCGAGATGCCTTGGCGCTGCTTGTATTGCTCGTTATCAGTCCAGATCGGCGTGCTGATGTAATATGTCTGTTTTGGGTAGGCGGTATCTTGTCCCCGTGCCAAGACGAAATCTCCGCCACCGAGA